CTGCTGCTGCTGTTGCTGCTGCTGCTGCTGCTGCAGCGCATGTGCGCTTTGAACCACGTGTGGATCCTGCCCAACAACACGACCTACGGGGGGGGCCCCCTGACGAAGTCGCGGTCTGCTGGGGGCCCCGGCGGCTGCAGCAGCAGCAGCAGCAGCAGCAGACTAAAAGTGACAACAGACAGAGCAGCAGAGTACAGACACTCCATTTGCTGCTACCTCGATGAACACGAGCGGGTGCTACCTCGCCCAGAAAGTGTCCTCATTTATGTTCTCGGCTGCGTACAAATGCAGGTCCGGCCTGCTGCTGCTGCTGCTGCTGCTGCTGCTGTTGTTGCTGCTGCTGCTGCTGGTGCTAGTGCTGCTGGTGATGCTGCTGGTACTGCTGGTGCTGGTGTTTTTGTTGCTGCTGCTGGTGCCGTCCGTGGTGATGCTGCTGGTGCTGCCGTTGCTGCTGCTGGTGCTGCTGGTGCAGCAGCTGCTGCTGTTGTTGTTGCTGCTTCTGGTGCAGCAGCTGCTGCTGTTGTTGTTGCTGTTGCTGGTGCTGGCGCTGCTGCTGGTGCTGTTGCTGCTGATGATGATAATTCTGCCTTTTCTGCTGCTGTTGGTGCTTCGCTTCTGTTGGCTCTTTTCCGCTTCTGCTGCTGCTGTTGCTGCTGCTGCTGCTGCTGCTGCTGCTTGTCTTGTGGGTGTTGGCTCACGGCCACAGGTGCAAATATTAAGCGTCCTTAGAAATAAAACGAAGCAGAATGCCCTTATCTGGGTGAGCAAAAGCTGCTGCTGCTGCTGCTGCAGTTTGTGGCTGTTGCTGCTTTTAGCTGCTGCTGCTGCTGGTTTTGCTGCTGCAGCTGGCGTTGCTGCTGCCGCTACTAATGTGTTTCTTCTCAGCCTTTCTGTTCCTGCTGCATCACTGGTTTCTCCCTTTGCAGTGTTTTTCTGGCTGCTTACTGTTGCTGCTGTTGCTGCTGTTGCTGCTGTTGCTGCTGTTGCTGCTGTTGCTGCTGGTGCAACAAATATTGCGGGAAATTTTCTATGCGGCACTTCTTTCTCTTCAGTCTCTACTGTTATTGTGCCCTCCCACACCAAGTGCTGCTGCTGCTACCGCTGCTGCTCTTGTTGTTGTTGCTGCTGCTGCTGCTGCTGCTGCCAGGTGCCTCGCTGCGTAGCTGCTGGCAGCTACGGAACTGCTCCTGGAAATGATGTAAATTGGAACAGCCCAGAAGAGGTTTCGCGCCACGTGCCGGCTTTGGAAATAGACGTCAAGACCATTAACCTGTAAACCCTAAACCCTAAACCCTAAACCCTAAGCCCTAAACCGTAAACCCTAATTTGGCGGCTGTCGCCTTCGCTGCACTGCCTCAGGGGCTTCATCGAAACTCGCTTTTCTAAAAACACATCCATCTCGAGGAGAACCAAAATGATCCGAGCCGACGTGCGCCTGCAAACCCTAAACCCTAAACCCTAAACCCCAAAGCCCAAACCCTAACCCCAAGCCCCCAACCCCAAACCCCAAACCCCAAACCCTAAACCCCCTCCGCTCCACGAGCCCAGACCCCCTGACCCTGCCGCCGCCGCCCAAGCGTCGAACCCCGAACCGCAACCCCCAAACCCTAAACCCTAAACCCTAAACCCTAAACCCTAAACCCTCGGCTGCGCGCGTGCAGGGCATGGACAACTGCGTGCTGCAGTGCTACAGCGAAAGCATTCATGACTTCTGGAGCGACAGCAGCAGAGTGCGGCAGCTGGCGATTCGGGTGAGTAGACAAACAAGTGTGGGGCGGCGGGGGCTGGAGGGGCCCCCGAAGGCGAAGCAGCTGATGCTGCAGCAGCAGCAGCAGCAGCAGCAGCAGCAGCAGCTGCTGCAGCTGCCCCACAGCGCCCACCAGCAGCTCGGAAGCCGGCGACACCCCCAGCACGCCGTGCAGCAGCAGCAGCAGCAGCACACACAGCTGCAGCAGCTCCGCGACATACACGCAGCTGACGAAGACACGGACTACACTGCTGCTGCTGCTGCAGCAGGAGCAGCAGCAGACCCTCAGCAGCTGCTGCTGGTCCCCTACGGAGACACTGAAAACCTCCTGCAGTTCGCCTTCGGCAGCGGGGGCCCCACAGAGGCCCCTGAGGATTATGGCGCAGCAGCGCAGCTGCTGCCGCAGGATGTGCGCAGCAACGCAGCAGCAGCAGCAGCAGCAGCAAATGCAGCCAATGCAGCAGCAGCAGCGGGACTGCCGTGGGGCTTCGGAGACACCCTCCTGCTCCAGGGAACGCTCCAGCAGCAACTCCTGCAGCAGCAGCAGCAACAGCTGCAGCAGCAACAGCTGCTTGGCTTCGACAACCTCTTGCTGCAACCAGAGGACTTCTTCCTGCAGCAACAGCAGCAGCAACAGCAGGAACAGCTGCTGCAGCTGCTGCAGCAGGAGGGAGTTAACGCTGAAAACGCAGGGCTCTTCATTGAGCAACACTTGCAGGAGCAGCAGCAGCAGCAGCAGCAGCAGCAAGAGGATGAAGATGCTGAGCAGCACAACTTAATATTCCCTTTTCTGGGGCTCTCAGACACTGAGACCCCTCGAGACAGCAACACTGCTGCCAAAGGGCCGCGGCAAGAAGCAGCAGCAGCAGCAGCAGCAGAGCCGTCTGCAGCAGCAGCAGCAAACCCGTACTCGTCATTTCGCCCTGCAACACACTCCCCGGGCCCCATAGGCGCAAGCCACGGCCTGCGGCGGCAGCAGCAGCAGCAGGGGGCCCCTGCAGCAAACCCTTGTGCTGCTGAGGGGGGCCCCCCAGAAGCATTTACATCTGCAAAGGGGCCCTTTCAGCTTGGAGGGTTTCCCGAGAGCAGCAGCAGCAGCAGCAACAGCAGCAGCAGCGGCAGCAGGAAGCCCCGTTCGTGTGAGCTCAGGGAGCCGCAGAAAGAAGACCAGCAGCAACAGCAGCAGCAGCAGCAACTGCTGCTCCAGCAGCTGCATGCACCCAGCTCTGCCACTCCCGCGCTGCTGAGGGCGCTGCAGCAGCTACAGATGCAACCGTGGGCAGCAGCAGCAACAGCAACAGCAGCAACAGCAGCAGCAACAGCCACTCCTGAACAAATCCTCCACTCTGAAGGCCTCTCTGGAGACACAGGAGACTCTGCTGCTGGACACGGCAAGCGCTAGCTCAACAGCAGCAGCAGCAGCAACCGCAGCAGCAGCAACAGCCGCAGCAACAGCAGCAGCAGTATCAGTCTTCGCTGCTGCTGCTTGGCCTGGCTCGCCTACTTAAGAGCATGACGCCTTCGATGAAGTGGAGGCCCTCCTTAGCAGCAGCAGCAGCAGCAGCAAAAACAGCAGCCCCTGCGGCAGCAGCAGCAGCAACCAGAAGCCGCTGCAGCAGCAGCAGCAGAAACAGCAGCAGCTGCAGCAGCAGCAGCGCCACAAGCCTGTGCAGTGCAACGCCTGGCCCTTCTGCAAGCCAATGGCCTAGACCTCATTCTTTGGGTAAACAGAAGGGCCCTTTTAGGGGCCCCTCGTGGGGGCCCCTGGGGGCCCCCTTAGGGGCCCCCCTGGCGGCCCCCCTGGGGGCCCCCTTAGGGGCCCCCGTGGGGCCCCCTTAGGGGCCCCCCCCGGGGTCCCCGCATTTGAGAAATGTTTGCTGCAGTTTGGCTCAATAAAGCCAGAGAAAAAGCAGCAGCTAGCCAGCCAGCTAGCCAGCTAGCTAGCCAGCTAGCTAGCCAGCTAGCTAGCGGCAGCCACAGCCGGCAGCTAAGAGTCACTTGGGGATGACCGCTCCTAGCTGTAGCTAGCTGCAGCTAGCTGCAGCTAGCCACGCAACTAGCTGCAGCTAGCCATGCATAGCTAGCTGCAGCTAGCTGCAGCTAGCCACGTAGCTAGCTGCAGCTAGCCATGGCTAGCTGGCGGCGCGGGCAGCTAGCTAAAAGAAATCCCCCTTGCTAGCAGCAACAAAGCCGCGCTGCCGCAAAAGATGTCACGCAGAACTAGACAGCGATTGAGACAAAAGCAATCCCCATGTCGATCTTGTCGACAGGCAGCTAGCTAGCTAGCTAGCTAGCTAGCTAGCTAGCTAGCTGGCTAGCTAGCCGGCTAGCTAGCTGGCTAGCTGGCTGGCTGGCCAACCGACTTGACAGCTAGCTAGCTAGCTAACTTGCTAGCTAGCTAGCGCGCCGCGCCTCCGTCGGCAAACTAGCCAACTGACCAGCTAGCTAGCTAGAAGGCTAGGTAGCTAGCTGGATAGCTAGCTAGCTAGCTAGCTAGCTAGCTAGAAGGCAGACAAGGCAGTTAGGCAGCACATTACCCACGTAATTGCTAATTTAGTAACATTGGTGGCCAGCGTTGGCTGGCGGCGTCTGCTACTCAGCTAGCTAGCCAGCTAGCTAGCTGACCAGCTAGCTAGCTGGCCAGCTAGCTAGCTAGCTTGCCAGCTAGCCGATAGCCAGTTTAATAGCTAGCCAGCTAGCCACGTTCGCCCAGTGGTGCACAGACTCTGCACATGCACAGCAGAAGTAACTAGCTAGCTACGCGCCTAGTTAGCTAGCTAGCTAGCGGATAGCCAGCTAGCTAGTTAGCTAGCTAGTGGGGAGCCAGCTAGCTAGCTAGCTAGCCAGTGGAGGGCCAGTTAGCTGGCTAGCCAAAAGTGGTGGGGGGCCCCGCATAGATGTCTTCAGGTTCCTCCTGATTTATCCCTAAAGGAGCAGCAGGGTGGGGCGGGGGTCCCGCGCTCGCTGCTGCTGCAGCAGCAGCAGCAGCAGCAGCAGAAGCCCGCGGGTCTTCTTCAATCGCCCTCAGGGCCCTTATCTCCCCCTGCAGCTTTTTAACTTTCGCCTCTAAGGCCCGGCGCACCAAGTCCAAACGCATTTCTGTGTCTTGCTGCGAGTTGGCCCAGCACCTGCAGCAGCAGCAGCAGCAGCAGCAGCAGCAGCAACGGCAATAACGGCAGCAGCACCTCCAGGGGGAAGGAGCGCAGCGTCCCGCAGTCACACAGCCGTGGCCGCTTGCTGCCAGCGCCCTTCGAACACCGCCGCCACGGCAGCAGCCCCAGCAGCAGCAGCAGCAGCAGCAGCAGCAGCAGCAGCAGCAGCAGCAGCTACCGCGTGCGCGCGTCGAGGTGGTGGTCGAGGGCGCAGAAAGAAACAATTTCTGCTGTTTCTGCTTCCGAGGGATCTTCCAAGTCCGCGAGGTGTTCAGACACCACAGAGCCCAGCGGCGTCCGCAGCGACACCAGGTGCGCCTGGTGGAAGCGGCCCTGCAGCTGCCTGCAGCAGCAGCAGCAGCAGCAGCAGCAGCAGCAGCAGGGTGAGCGGGCGGAGAGCGTTTAGGCTAGTTAGGGCAGCTGACGGAGCGCCCACGCAGCGGCAGCAAACGGCAGCTGCAGCAGCAGCAGCGGCTCAGGCAGCAAAGAGGCAGCGCCGGCAGCCGTTGCGGCAGCAGCAACTGCAGCAGCAGCCACGGCAGCAGCAAAGACAGCAGCAGCAGCCGCGGCGGCAAAGGCAGCAGCAGCGGCTCCAGCAAGAAGACAGCAGCAGCAGCCACAGGAGCTGCAGCGGCAACAGCAGCAGCCACGGCAGCCAGCACGCAGCAGCAGCCGCAGCAGCACCGGAACCATGAAAACAACAGCAGCAGCAGCAGCAGCAGCAGCAGCAGCAGCAGGCGACCTGTATTTGAGTTCGAGCTTGTTGCATCTGTCAACAAGAGAGTGAAGAGCTCCAAGGGTTTCTTTAACAGCAGCAGAATCGCTGAAGGGTCTGCGCTGGTCCCACCAGGGCACCGCCCGCACCTTCACGCAAACCCTAAATCCTAAACCCTAAACCCTAAACCCTAAACCCTGCCCCCGGGTTTGCCGGCCCGGCGGCAGAGCGCCGCCGCGGGGAGCTGCTGCTGGCTGCTGGCTGCTACCGCAGCGCGCGAAAAGCCCGTTTAGCGCTCAGGACGG